GGGCTTTTAAGGTTGAGGTCACTTGTAAGCTGATGTTTAGGTCACACAAACACCACATAACAAACGATTCACAGTTGTTCTTCATCAGATGGAAGTCATTCTCGCCTAACCTTCTACGAGCCCTTGCAATCTCTTCTTCTGTGGAGTATCGTCTCAGTTCCTCTGGCCATACAACCCTTTCTACTTCGACTCCGTTCAACAGCTCCGTCGTCTTTGGATCGACATCACTCTTTGCGATCAAGTATCCGTCGGGCAAAGTAACCTCCTGAATTATTCCTAGCTCTTCGAGACGTGAACCCAAGCCCAGTAAGGTGGGAAACATTTGCTTTATGGCATTCCAGGTGGTGTTATAATAATGAATGATCTTCGGCTTTCTACTTTTCTCGTCTCTTCCGATGCAGATAAAATGGTGCGCGTACTCGATCGGAGTACCTCGGTAGTATGTCCTCAAAAGGTGGTCGCCTTGTTTCATGTCTGAAAGTCGGCGGATCGGCTCCCTTGCTTGAAGGTGCCATTTAAGAAATTCCTTTCGCTCTTTAGGTTTAAGTCTCGAGATTTTGTTCCAATCTGCAGAGGATATGTTTGAAGCCATTTTGATATCTACAGCATCCAGTGTATAGCAAATTTTCAACTTCTCTACTGAAAAGCATCAACAAGGGACTTTAATATACCTTCCCTTTCCATAACAAGAGACTTTCCCCTACTTTAATTTTCCTAAAAATAGCTCGAAGGGACTTTCCCATCCCTTTTATTTATAGATATTGGTATGGCCTAACCTTACTTGAATGTTCTCATTGGCTAGCTGGAGAAAAGACGTTATACGCAAAATAATCCAAGCCCTTGAGCAAACCACAAGGGGTATGGAAACGAGCGTGACAAAGCGAAAAATCCAATTTGCATGAGAATGACTCAGTAGGTACGTTCCAAAACTTTGCACAACAATGCGAAATCACCAAAATATTTACGTTTCTGTTTGGAACTAGGTCCTTCGAGATATTGTGCTGATAAAATTAGCATATTATGCGAGATGATAAATCAAACAACAAACATATGAAATACATATATATGAACTGCGGTTATGAAACGTATATGTGCACGATCCTTCGCAGTAAAGCACTATTTAAGCAATAGTGAAAATCAGACCTGAAAAAAATTCAGGCCTGTACGGGATTCGAACCACTGACCTCTGCGATACTAGTGCAGCGCTCTACCAATTGAGCTAACAAGCCAACTGGGAGCAGGCCATCAAATTAATTCGACATAAACCCGTAGATGATAAATCAAACAACAAACATATGAAATACATATATATGAACTGCGGTTATGAAACGTATATGTGCACGATCCTTCGCAGTAAAGCACTATTTAAGCAATAGTGAAAATCAGACCTGAAAAAAATTCAGGCCTGTACGGGATTCGAACCACTGACCTCTGCGATACTAGTGCAGCGCTCTACCAATTGAGCTAACAAGCCAACTGGGAGCAGGCCATCAAATTAATTCGACATAAACCCGTAAGATGATAAATCAAACAACAAACATATGAAATACATATATATGAACTGCGGTTATGAAACGTATATGTGCACGATCCTTCGCAGTAAAGCACTATTTAAGCAATAGTGAAAATCAGACCTGAAAAAAATTCAGGCCTGTACGGGATTCGAACCACTGACCTCTGCGATACTAGTGCAGCGCTCTACCAATTGAGCTAACAAGCCAACTGGGAGCAGGCCATCAAATTAATTCGACATAAACCCGTAAGATGATAAATCAAACAACAAACATATGAAATACATATATATGAACTGCGGTTATGAAACGTATATGTGCACGATCCTTCGCAGTAAAGCACTATTTAAGCAATAGTAAAAAGAATATTAAACCGGCAGCCATTTATGAAAGTGGTTTATGCTACTCTGTTTTTTTCTTTAAGTTTGCTTTTCCAAAAAGACACTAAACAAGACCAAGTTATATATATTTATTATTATTGTTAGTAAAGTACACACCTGCTCTGATAAAACACAACTAATTACTACACTAGATTCCATACTTGAAGCGGCGACTTAGTGTGACTGAATATACGATAGACGGTAGCTTAGCCCTAAACTTGTAGAACTTCCGGTTTAAAGGGAGCGTTGCGTGACGAACCTGGAAATAATTCGGTGCGGAACGATAGTTTTCTCATTGGCATGCTTCACTCTATGAGCTGACAGAGGCTCATAACAACTTGACTGCAAGGTATGCGGTTTAGACATTTGCATTTTCAGCGTTCATGAATTTTTCTTTACGGATTCATCAATTTCCTGCGATGTCTGCTTCGAATTAAGAAACAAATTCCTTCTTTGCTTTGGCTACATACATAACCGATATAGGAACTGAACATTGAAGTCTTGTAAGTTGAAAGACGGAAAATAATTCGGGATTTTCCCGGTGGGTTATGACTACCATTTGTGTTATTCATTTTTTCCTTTTTTGAGCTAGAGCGAAACCCTCCTTAGGCTGGTGTGATCTGAGACAAAAGAATTAAAAGGGCCTCTAAGATTTTGTTCACCTGACATAAAAGTTTTCAATTATGATCGACTATTCCATACCATTTTTGGCTCCAAAACTTCAGTAAGCGGGACTTGCCCTTTTTCACTAGGAGTCTACTCCACTAAATCCCGAGACCCACGAGTAACCCGCGAACGTGACGTCACTTACGTCAACCTTTCGTAGACTCTGCACAGACAACGAAGGCAGACAGCCTGGGAGCCCGTCTCTCTGAGAATAGGAACTAAGGAAGATCCCATGAGTGATTCTCCCTACTGTCTGCCATACAGTTGTAATGATGTTAGTTTGGAGAAATTTGTTTTGGATCAATGTAAAATCCTCTAATAATCGATAAGCTCAGTTAGATGTCAATGAAACAAAAGAAGTGAAAAGTCCCTCGTTCTGTTTTCACAAAAATGAAAGTATAGCAAAATCCCTTGTAGTAGTTCAACAAAGAATTTTACCCCACTGCAGAACTCTTCGATACCGATGTTAGCAATATTAGATTGCGCCACCCCCTCCCCCACCCCTCCTTTATTATTAAGAGGAGAGGGAGAAGGGTACAATGGAACTTCAATTTAACAAAGCCGTGCTAAGGGACTGGGGGCATTGGTTCGTTATATCGAGGGGGGTTGTTATAGCGAGGTTCTGTGGCGTACATTTTACTGTAACTTTAGCTAGGCTGAAACCTAAGTATTGTTCGTTATACCGAGGACTTCTTTATCATTTCCTCTGCATAGCTTTTGACGATGAAGGTAAACCGGTGATTGCGCATTATCTCAACGCGCCAACAAACGCTAGTGTACAAACGTTGACCACGGCCATTTTCTCTTCACCGGAACGAACGAGTTGAGCATAAAGCCGAAGATCATTCATTATTATAACACGCCGGTAGATGCCATGAAACATACCGAGAAAAACGCTGATTGAAACGTTAATGTCATATTTCTTTAAACTTTCACCGATGCCTCGACGTGATCATCTTACCTAACAGCGCCAGAACTCATGTTCGTTTCAGTATAACATTAGAACGCTGTTTTGAGTTCTTAAGAGGCCCTTATAGATTGTGCTAGTATTGGCATAATTTGGAAACACGAGAATAATTCTTGCACTTTTTTTTTAATAAAAGTAGCACTGCAAGAATTATGAGCAGATTTTTAGGGAACATTACCACAGTCGTGACTTGCTTAGTCTTTAATCAAGATTGATTACTTTCGAGTTCAGTCCATGGTTCAGTTTATAA